TAAAGAAATGGCACAGCTTACCCACTCTCCGCTGCTCAGTCTATTAGCACAGCTTTTCCTCTCCTGCAATTTATCATCATGTTTCAGACTGTGCTGCATGTTTGCACTAGCCTATGCTCTCACAGTAAACTTCACACTCTGTCCCTTCGCCATCAGACCACAGTCATCCACAGATGAAGAGCTCTCCACAGACCTGTGATAAGGTGACGGGCCTCGGCAGTGCAGAGCTGTGTGGGTGTGTCTGTCTGTGTGTATCTCTCACCTTAGCTTTTTGTGGCTGCAAGGGAGCAGGTTCACATGAAATCTCAAGCAGGCAATTTCAAGAGCTGAACATGAGCAGTGAATGAAAACTGAAATGAAAACTCCCCACCCCCCCAAGTAAATATATGTCATCCTTACAATACGATGAATTTACCTGATGAGATGCAACATTGCATAAGCCATTGTGTTCTGTTTCCAGAAATTACATGCGGCACCTGTAAGATTTTAAGATTCTTTTCAGAGAATGTATCTTTTATGTTTGTTTTGTCTTGATCCATTGGCATTTTTTTTTCTACTTTTCAACACGAAACAAACATTTACTCTATTTACTTTCTTCAAGGAAAGTAAATTTTTTGTGCATGATTAATCAGTACATGTAATTCCATAAAATATTTGTCTACATAATTTTTCATCTAATTGTAATAACTTCTGACTGATGTCCCAAATCCCTCTTACATTCCATTCATAATAGCAATACACTGATAATGTTTTTCAGATGCTGATAAGCCAATATTAAAATTATATTATTTTGTTTAAATTAATTAAACATAAAAACAAAAAAATCAAGATTACATTGTATACTGTTATTAAATTATTAGTGTTGTTAAAGATTAACTTTAAGCAAATGTTAAATAAAGACAAGGGTAATAGACAAATAAAACAGAAGAAATGAGCATGAACAATTACTTTTCTACAACAATTACATTCTATTGTGCATCTGTTCTTTTCTGATTATTTTATGGACTTATAAAAGCCACTTTCCACAATCTAATAATTTCCTTTGATCAAATCAAAATTAAATAAATTTATTTGGTTAAATATGGTCTTTTCAGAAATGTCAAATTATGGAAATTGGGCTGTGAATGCCATTTCATGTTGACTTCAAACATAGTCCTCACTAAATGTATTGTTTTATCATATTTTCAAAGAAATGTTTTTTCAATGGTAACATGGTTGCACAGTATCGCTATTAACAGGATATTGGCAGCCTACGTCAGTCGCACTGCAGCAACTAGAGCAGGTATAAAGTCATAATGCTTGAGGGCTGATAGAGGAGCAATCTTTGAGCAGACAGTGCTGTTGCTGTTTGTTTCTTTGACTCATCCCAATGATGGATGCTCAAATCCATCACTTCTGTAACATTGAGTCACATGCTGTCAGGGTTTCGCGAAACACTTTGAAGTTCTGACTCTAGCGTAGAGTCAGGGATAGGTCTGACCTTTGGATCTGTGCAAAAGGTAATTTCCCTCCTATTTTGTCTCCATAGCAACTCACCTACTGATGAGGTCAACTCATGCCCTTATGCACATGCTTGTTCATGTCTCTCGCCTGAGTCTCATTTTACAGTGAGTCGGGAGAATTATTCCAAATGTCAGGCGAGATTTGTTTTGGAGTGCTTGGTTTCTTGTTAACGTTTTGTGCATGTCTCAGTACAGAAACACAAACTGGTGTGAGGGCCCAAGAGTCTCTGCTGTTGCACAGACAGTGAGTCAGCCTCTTCTCCAAGTACACTCGTCTGATTTTGGGAGTTGTTTGACTCCTTGTTGAAGCACCCAACTTCTAGTTTTAAGCTCTTCAGAGTGGCTTTTTTGAGACTCCCCTTCTCCCTAAGTGAAACTGTTAAAGACAAATCCAGTCATCATCAAGCTGTCCATCCAAATGTTGTTTTGTCAGATATCATCTTGTTAATGTGCGTACTACCAGTGTTTCCTGCACGCAACAACGAACACAGTACGAGTCATGATGTCTAATTTTTGACCTTATGAACAGTAGTGCGGTGTTCAAAATATCGATACGACGATGTATCGTCACAGAGATTTGACGATACGAGTATCGATACAGCTGGCCCTGTATTGATACTGTGGCACGTGTGCAGCAGTGGACCACGCTTAATTTTACAACGTTTAAACTTGAGTAGAAAAGTGCGAGGTTTCTAAAAAAGAATGAATCTGTTAATAATCTGTTAATAATCTGGCATCTGAGGAACACAACGGGGTTGCCTGATATAAAGAGACGTAATCCCCAAAACAGAGCTTTACACTTGCGCAATACAGAAATATCTGCTAAACGTGCTACTTATCTTTGTCAACCTGGCAACCCTGTGCTCACGCGCTCTCTCTCCACTGTGGATAAACGCGCTTGCTTTCTGAAAACAGGGGTTAGCTTGCAGTTTAGCTATCTCCACTTCAAGTCTATTCTCAGAAAAGTGTAATTCATCAACTGTTCATTTACGACAGAGAGAGAGAGAGAGGGACTGTGTATGTATGAATTATCACCGTTTTGCCGCGTTTCTCTATTAACGGTAAAGCTGTGGCTTTAATTCCCTTAGAAACAATGATGCTACCAGCTCCTTGTTGAGAAAGATAATGTAGCTCTTGAGCGATTAAGCTATTTAGTTGATAAAACTGCGGGGCAGCGCTAAAAAGTTTGTTCCTGAATGTCTGAGTTCGGCCGCAGCGGGATCTGTGTGTGACTGAACGTAGCACCAAACTGCTTCTGTTTCACACAAATGCTGGCACAGACGTGCATGTTCGGCTAGAGTCGCTTTTGAACTCGTGCATCTTCGGAAGCGCAGCTGCACGGAAACTTAAAAAAAATGTTGTGCACACCGCCACGCAAAACGACGTCGCGCGCACTCAAAGCGAACTTGCGGACGCTCGAGTATAAATCAGCCTTAAATCAGCCTTGAGCGTGTGTGCGTTAGATACAGTGAAGACAGCTTGTTAGTTTAGAACTCTTCTAATTTTTTATTTATTTATTGTAGAGTGTGTTAATTTGTGCAATAATAACCTACCAGCAATGTAAATGATTTTTTAAACATATTAGAATGAGTACATTACAATATAAATGTATTAGAACAAGTACATTATTATTTATGGGCTTAAAAACAAGATGCAATAAATCAGAATATTGTACCTGGTGGGGAGTGCACAATGTAAACATGAAACATATGCAATTACCTATATTGTACTGTGGTACAGTTATGGAGGCCCTTCATAATGCAGAGGTCAACTGCCTGCTCTGCCAATAGTTAGAAATGGCACTATAGTATGCAGTGTTTAATAAACAGCTGTTTTTCTAAATTCTGCTGAGGTGAAATTCAGTGCAGTCATGTATCGTGGCCTCTGTATCGTATCGTGACTTTGCTGGTGATACACAGCCCTAATGAACAGGATCTTTTTAATAATTCAGTCCGAAAGATTCATGAAACAGCCTCATACTAGCTTGAGGCTTGATTCAGACTCAGTCAGTCAGTGAATTGTTCAGTTGTCACTCTCAGCCATACTTCCTTAATGTGCGAGAACAAACTTTATTGGTTCTTATGGAAGCTTGTATGTGCTTGCGTGAGAAGTGAAAACAATCCCAATTAATTCTTCTATGTTAAAGGGTTAGTTCACCCAAAAATGAAAATTCTGTCATTAATTACTCACCCTCGTGTTGTTTGAAACCCGGAAGACCTTTGTTCATCTTCGGAACACAATTTAAGATATTTTTGATGAAATATGAGGGCTCTCTGACCCTCCCATAGACAGCAAGGTAACTACCACGTTCAAGGTCCAGAAAAGTACCAAGATGATCGACAAAGTAGTCCGTGTGACATCAGTGGTTCAACCGTAATTTTACGAAGCTATGAGAATACTTTGTATGCAAAGAAAACAAAAATAACGACTTTATTTAACAATTTGTCTCCTCCGCGTCACCCCGGTGCCATTTTGGAGAGTATCCACTGAACGTAAATAGCGTATGCTATTCTGTGTTAACTGCATCACGCGGATACGTTTTCCATGTTGTTTACGCTTTGATTTGAACAAAAACAACGTATCCGCGTGATGCAGCTGACACAGAATAGCATACGCTGTTTACGTTCAATGGATACTCTCCAAAATGGCATGGCATTCATCAAAAAATCTTAATTTGTGTTCCTAGGAGATGAACGGAGGTCTTACGGGTTTAGAACGACATGAGGGTGAGTAATTAATGACAGAATTTTCATTTTTGGGTGAACTAACCCTTTAAAAGTTGAAGAAGCTGTGAACATAGGAGCTCAGTGAACTGAAGCACTTCTGAACAACCTTTACCATTTGTAATTTGTCAAATAAAAAAGTAATTTTGCTTCTAAATGTTTCATTGTAGCAGCCAAACAGCTCCCTAGTCATTTTCTTTTTGTCTGGAGCACTGGTGTGGGGTTTTTGTTCAGAATTAGAGTAATTTAGTTAATAATAAAAAAATCTCAGCAAGCATTAATTATGAAAACTCAACAGCATGCTTTGAAAATGGATTGTATTGTGTGGGAAACTTCTGGTCAGAAGAGAAATGAACACGTCTGCTAATAAAGAATCCGTAAGAAGCTGCTGCGCTCATCTCCTAGAGCAAATCTGCAATTAGTTTCTGGATGGACATGCCACGCACATACACGTGTGCACACATTCTCCATGAGATTATGAAGTTTGAGGAGCCTCTTATCCTAGTATCAGTTGAGATGAACTTGCAGTGATGTTAGGCTCAAAGAGGATTAGTAAAAGACACAGACACTTAAAAGAGAGATATTGTATGTGCATGTTTGCGAGATACACACTTGACCGATTGGTGGCTTGATTGGTCACAGCCCGGTCACAAAAGCCACAGAATATCCAGCAAGGATTTACGGGAGTCCAGCGGATCAACCCGGAACATCTCCGCACAATTCCTTCTCTCATCCTGCGCTCATCTCTCCATCTCTCTCTTCATCCTGTGCACAGGCCCAGAGGATTAGGCTGGATTTAAGAACACACTGTATGAGGAGATCACTCCAAACCCGACCGGCCTGGTGCGCTGTAGATGGTGAGGGATTGCCACTTCTCGTCTCTATGGGCGCTGCTCAGTTCAGTTCTGTTCTGTCATAGTGGTTCTGCTGGCTTGTGCCCATTAGTTGTACTGTTTAAGCTCTAGAGCTAATGATATTAGCGTGGATCTGCTCGGCAGTCTGTTAGTCGTTCATCTGGCACAGTTTGTCTCCTACCGACTGATGTCAGAAAAACTAAGTTTCCTTTTTCATCAAATTATTAAATTAAGGTAATTTTGAGATTTTAGAAAATAGTGAGTAGCCTGTAAGGTATTATATTAAAGAAATATATGATATTTTTTCTGTTGTACAACATAGATGTAAAATATTTAAGGATGCGTGAAATTAGCATATCGGTGATCGGCTGATTATTATTATTATTATTTTTTTATCAGTGTATATATATATATATA